AACGCAAACGGGTCCAGACGTCGGACAGGGGGACGGGCTAGTCAGCCGCCCCCTCGAGCTTTCCCAGCACAGTGCCCATATGTTCATCAAATTTTCCCGTATCCCAGCACTGGAGAGCAGACCACAGTAGTGCGTCAAGGACTGGTCACATGAAGAAAGGATCTTGAGGTTTCTGCCGGCTTCGGATTCCCAGTTTCGGACCCAGAACACATAAACACGATTCAGGATGACAGGTGAGTCCCTGGAAAAGCACCAGGGGCCAGGACTTGTTTCCCTCAGAAGCCCCTCCCTTCATTTCAGATAGTCTGTCGAGGAGTGGGCTGAGATGGCCAGCCTAGCGCAAGAATCAGCATCACCTTGCAATCGACTGGGACATTGAGAACCTCCGCCTCTGGAGTTGGGCACTGACAAATGTTCTACAGAGGTGCAGGGGGCATCGAGGGGCGTACGCACGTTGGTGGGGAGAGCGTGCTTTCGTTGGCGGCAGAGCTTGTTCTCGGCTTCTGCGAGGATTGCTTCACAAAGCTTGGGCTCCGAGGTTTGACGCCCGAGTCAATCAAGTCGTCTCCGCTGTTTGCTCAGAAGGCGGACTTTGAGATAACAGCGACGCCTGCGTGCGAGGCAGGGGGAGCGACACCACCGCCAGCGGGCTACCTCTCGAGCGAAGAGGTCCCTGATGCTCTCCCGGGCCGGAAACGGGAGATGTCCCGAGCGGGACGCCGCATAGAAAGGGGCGGCCGGTACCACCACGAGGACTCACGGCAGTGGTGGTGGTGGTGGTGGTGGTGGCGGTGGTGCTTGTTTCTCTTGCTCCTACCCACACGTTGTGCGCTCGAACGCGCCGGGCGTGCGCCTCTCCTGGGGATCTCCGGGGCCCCTCGTGGCGGCCTCGGGGGTCCTTCTGTGACGAAGCCGCGTGAGGCGCAGGGCGCGGCCTTCTCTTGACACAGTTCGCCCTGCGGGGCAGTGCGGACAGGGAGCTGTGGAGCGAGCATCGCAGACGCGATGAAACCCTTGCGGGGGAGGAGGAGGAGGGGGAGGAGGAGGAGGAGGAGGAGGAGGAGGAGGAGGAGGAGGAGGAGGAGGAGCAGGAGGAGCAGGAGGAGCAGGAGGAGCAGGAGGAGGACGAGGAGGAGCAGGAGGATGGGGTATACTAAAACCGGCGGGCCGCAGCATGCGAGCGCGCACGCTGCGGGAGTCGCCGTGTGGGGGCGCGAGGCGCGCCGGGGGCCTGCCGAAAATGCAATGGGGCGGGGTGCGGCGCAAAGGGCACGCCCACCGGGGCCGCAGGAGGGGCTCCGCGCGGGGGCGCGCAGCTTCGCGCGAGGGGCGCGCCGAGCGGGGCACGCCGACGGCGAGCAGAACGCAGAGAGAGGAGCGGAGGGGGGAGGAGGAAGCAGGAGAGCGTCTTTCCCCGAGCAGTGCTTGCACCGGAGGGGTCCCACGCAGCGGGAATAGGAAGGTTTGGCGACAGGGTGCCGCCGATTTTGGTGGCTGGCTGGGTTCCCGGGTTCCAGGTTTCGGGTTCCCGGGTTCCTGGTCATTGGTTCCGTGCCGATTTCGGTGGGTTCCGGGTTCCTGTGTTCCTGGGTTCCCGGTCGATCTCCTTATCGATCTTTTGGTCGACCCCACGATTCATCAAACCATCCATTGATTGGGGTTTTTCTCTGGTGTAATTTTACCCTCTGGGATATCGCGCATTGCAGCCTGGGCCCATGCCGAGGAACACCCTGCTCGCCTGCAGGGTGCTCCGGGTTTCTTGGGTTTCGATGGTTTTGCAGTGGAGAGCGTGACGTGCCCTCACCAGAATCGATGGACGTCGAGGGATCTCAGGGTTGGGTTTCTTGTGGAAGGTTTCTTGTGGTCGGACCTCCACTGTATGCCCTTTCCCCCCCCCCCCTCCCACCAATAACGGAACGCTCCCCCCCCCCTGCGTCCCCAGCACTGCCGCGCTGCGTCCAGCACCACAGCCTCTGGTGCCCGACCCACACTTCGGCGGGGGGGCATCCTGTCATGACCCCCCTGCGCCCCCTTCCTCGCTGTGGTCCGACTGCTGCCGACCCGCCGGCGAAGCGATCCGCTCACCCCTGCGGCAGCGAAGCACGAAGCTTTTGCCACCGCCAACCCACGATTCGGGCGACTCGATGGGCGGCGGGGGCAGGGTTCGGAGTGTGTCGAAGGCGTGGCGAAATTCAAACCCTCCCGCCCCCCGTCGATTCAGGGGAGTCGATGTTGGTGGGGGTAGGTTCGGATGTCGCCCCCTGTCCATATCTCTGACGACTCCGTACGAGGCGTTCCAGAAAGGCCCTTGCCTTCTTTCTGTTGATCCCTGCTTTGAAAGGGATTCAGGGGCATGGTGTGCGCGGTATGGTGCAACAAAGAGGTTGCATTTGAGACGCGTCTTTTTCCTCATCTGTGGTGTCGTTTTGCTTTGGGAAACGACGACAAAACGAATCTCGTGCGCTGGGGAAAAAAGGCCCTTGTCTTCGAGAGTCGAAGG